TTGTGATATTCTTTGTTTCACGGTCATGTGTATATAACATCCATGCCCTATGAATATGCTTATGTTTCCGAGAAGACCGTCAGCCAGTAACCTCACACACACACACACACACACACACACACACACACACACACACACACACACACACACACACACACACACACACACACATGTATAAATGTGCTTGCGTGCGTGTGTGTGTGTGTATGTGTATGTGTATGTATGTGTATGTGTACATGTGTGTGTATGTGTGCGTGTGTGTGTGTGTGTGTGTGTGTACGATAGTGCTGGCTTTAGTCTCGGAGGCTCTAAGCAATATCAAACCCAGAGGACCTTTGTTTAATTACACCAGCTGGTCTCTGAAAACGTTAAAATTACACGTATTTTTTCAAGTGATTGCACTTACTGATTACCTGTTGATAATTTGGTTGCCTTAATCTGTATCATATATCATAATATGGTATATCTACCCTAGAAATTTGTATCATATACCATAATATGGTATATCTACCCCAGAAATCTGTATCATATATCATAATATGGTATATCTACCCTGGAAATAATGCTGGTATTTAAATGCATCTTCTTAAAAGATAAACATTAACATTCATAAAGATATATGCACGATCACTCATATTAATACATACTGCTGTACTGTCAACGCCTCTAGTCAAAAAAAAAATAACATAAACGATCACAGTGTTCGCGAAAATTCAAATGAAAATGAAACAAAAAAAGACTCCCAGTAACAGCACATCCTGACATGAAATTTGGTAATAATTCACGAAGCATCTTTACCTTTCACGCGACCTCCTGGACGGACAGACAGCGAGCGACGCCTAAGCCCACGTGATCTGATCGGATGACTTGAGGCAAAAAGGAGGGTAACATCCAAGCTGGAGTTTTCTTGAGGCCTCCTGCAAGTTGTGAGACCCTGTGCTGTTGGTTGTTTAGCTTGTACCTAAATCTAGCACTGGTTTGTGTGTGTGTGTATATAGATAGATAGATAGATAGATAGATATAGATGCGTGTTTGTGTGTTTGTGTGTGTGTGTGTGTGTGTATAGATAGATAGATAGATAGATATAGATAGATAGATAGATATAGATGCGTGTTTGTGTGTTTGTGTGTGTGTGTGTGTGTGTGTGTGTGTGTGTGTGTGTGTGTGTGTGTGTGTGTGTGTGTGTGTGTGTGTGCGAGTGTGTGTACAGGGAGTTCTTTGAACCCCAGTTTAACTTCCTGCCAAGGACAAACATATAAATATACATATACATATATACATATGTTTGTTACCTGATTGATTGGATGCTCCTCATAATCAACCGCCGTTCAGAGCGCTACCACTTTGTCACGGCGGCGACACCTGCGTTTGATTTTCTCAAGGCGATATGCCGTTTTCTTGCCGTGAGAGCAGTCTCGAGCCAATAGTCGGAGCGCAGGCTTTTCTTTTTTTTTTTTCTTTTTGCAATTGCCACGGCGGGGAATTGAACTCGGAATCCAATGCTGTATCCACTGGACCATCGCGGCATACATACATACATACATACACACATGCGCAAGCAAGCATACACACACGCACACACACACACAGTGTGTGTGTGCGTGTGTGCGTGTACATGTGTGTGTGTGTGTGTGTGTGTGTGTATGTGTGTGTGTGTGTGTGTGTGTGTGTGTGTGTGTGTGTGTGTGTGCGTGTGTGTGTGTGTGTGTGTGTGTGTGTGTGTGTGTGTGTGTGTGTGTGCGTGTGTGCGTGCGTGTGTGTGTGTGTGTGTGCGCGCGAGTGTGTGTGTGTGCGTGCATATATTCAAGACCGAGCACGTGGTGGACACACACGATTGAATAAGAATATAGGCACCTGGCTATCTGCTTTTCCTTGATTAACACCGGGAGCCATGGACGAGTGCTTTAAAATAGGCCGTTTCTCGGAATTACCTAACACCAGAAATCCAGTGGCCTCCGAATTCCCCGAAACTTGAACGCCGTCATGGAAGGAGCAAGTTTCCTGATGCCAGTTTTTCCCGCGTGCAAGATGCGCTCTCGGTGAATTTACTTTTAAATGGATCATCAATTTTCTCTCTAATAGGAAGACCCCTAATCTATAAAACACAATGTTTTTTGATGATGAACTGATGGTGTCGAAAAGACATGATGAATTATAATGCTAGTACCATTAAAACAACACCTAATTTTACCACACATACGAATGTAAACTATGTGTAAACCGCCATGAAAACCCCCCTCAGATAATCAGTTTCATTTTCAACTAAAAAGCTATTTTGGGTTTGTTTTAATAATAACGATACAAAGTATTTATCTTGCGGTTGAAGTAGGAAAATACGTTGGAAATCCCTAAGGCAGCGTAACGGGCACAGGCTGACTTTGCTCAAGTCGGTAAATCCATGTGGAAAAAATGTGTCAGGTCAGGTTTATTGCAGTAATGTATGACAATGCTGTTTATCATAAATGTTATTATCATTATTAGTACTGTTATTATCATTATTAGTATTGCTATTATCATTATTAGTATTATTATCATTATTAGTATTGTCATTATCATTATTATCATCATCATTGATATTATTGTTATCCTTATCATTATTTTTATTACTGTTACTAACATTATTATCATTAATATATTTATTTTTCTATTTATGATAATCATCAATTATTATCATTATTATTAATGCTATTATCATTATTAGTATTGCTATTATCATTATTAGTACTGTTATTATCATTATTAGTATTGCTATTATCATTATTAGTATTGCTATTATCATTATTAGTATTGCTATTATCATTATTAGTACTGTTATTATCATTATTAGTATTGCTATTATCATTATTAGTATTGCTATTATCATTATTAGTATTGCTATTATCATTATTAGTATTGCTATTATCATTATTAGTATTGCTATTATCATTATTAGTATTGCTATTATCATTATTAGTATTGCTATTATCATTATTAGTACTGTTATTATCATTATTAGTACTGTTATTATCATTATTAGTATTGCTATTATCATTATTAGTACTGTTATTATCATTATTAGTACTGTTATTATCATTATTAGTATTGCTATTATCATTATTAGTATTGCTATTATCATTATTAGTATTGCTATTATCATTATTAGTATTGCTATTATCATTATTAGTATTGCTATTATCATTATTAGTATTGCTATTATCATTATTAGTATTGCTATTATCATTATTAGTACTGTTATTATCATTATTAGTATTGCTATTATCATTATTAGTATTGCTATTATCATTATTAGTATTGCTATTATCATTATTAGTATTGCTATTATCATTATTAGTACTGTTATTATCATTATTAGTATTGCTATTATCATTATTAGTATTGCTATTATCATTATTAGTATTGCTATTATCATTATTAGTATTGCTATTATCATTATTAGTATTGCTATTATCATTATTAGTACTGTTATTATCATTATTAGTATTGCTATTATCATTATTAGTATTGCTATTATCATTATTAGTACTGTTATTATCATTATTAGTATTGCTATTATCATTATTAGTACTGTTATTATCATTATTAGTATTGCTATTATCATTATTAGTATTGCTATTATCATTATTAGTATTGCTATTATCATTATTAGTATTGCTATTATCATTATTAGTATTGCTATTATCATTATTAGTATTGCTATTATCATTATTAGTATTGCTATTATCATTATTAGTATTGCTATTATCATTATTAGTATTGCTATTATCATTATTAGTATTGCTATTATCATTATTAGTATTGCTATTATCATTATTAGTATTGCTATTATCATTATTAGTATTGCTATTATCATTATTAGTATTGCTATTATCATTATTAGTACTGTTATTATCATTATTAGTATTGCTATTATCATTATTAGTACTGTTATTATCATTATTAGTACTGTTATTATCATTATTAGTACTGTTATTATCATTATTAGTATTGCTATTATCATTATTAGTATTGCTATTATCATTATTAGTACTGTTATTATCATTATTAGTATTGCTATTATCATTATTAGTACTGTTATTATCATTATTAGTACTGTTATTATCATTATTAGTATTGCTATTATCATTATTAGTATTGCTATTATCATTATTAGTACTGTTATTATCATTATTAGTATTGCTATTATCATTATTAGTATTGCTATTATCATTATCAATATTACTATTATCATTATTAGTACTGTTACTATTATCATTATTAGTACTGTTATTATCATTATTAGTATTGCTATTATCATTATTAGTATTGCTATTATCATTATTAGTATTGCTATTATCATTATTAGTATTGCTATTATCATTATTTTATGTTATCGTTATCATTATTATCGTTACTATCATTATCATTATCACCATCGTTACCCTTAATATTATTATGATCACCATCACTATTACTATTACCATTATTACTATCAGGAAACAGAGACTCTGAGATTGGTCTCCAAAATCACTCCCACTCTGCTGAGTGACCCATTAGGCCTACGTGCCAATTCGCTGACCAGGTCACGCCCCAATCACGAGGGAGTCACGCCCGATCCCAGACGAGTTCCTCCGCCTTCTGGAAACTTCGCTCCATGTTCCCTCGCCGGACCTGCCCGGTGCGCTACAGGCCTACGTCTGAGGATCTCCTACCTCCGGTCTACACTACCAACATCTACATTTCCAATAGAGCCAAGAGACAGATCCTGTGTTTTCCTACATCACCAAAGTCAAAATGAATATATCAGAAATCTGTCAAGGCAGAGATAAGTGGCTCTGATGCTTTATGTTAGAGAAGAGAATAAGTAAAATATAATGGGAACAATATACATAAACATAATATACATAAGAAAAAAAAGAAAAGAAAAAAAAAAAAAAAAAAAAAAAAAAAAATATATATATATATATATATATATATATATATATATATATATATATATATGTGTGTGTGTGTGTGTGTGTGTG